GTTGTAGGACTTTCATTCAGCTAGTTTTCTAGCAGTTCTGAATGATGGCTGCCTGTATTTTAGTTGTAATTTTGATGTGGTTATGAGAAGCAACAAGTACCAGCGTTTACCTATGCTGCCATCTTGATTCTCCCCTGAGTTCAGATTCCAACAGGCTAATTTTTACATTGATAATTTTTTTGGCTCTCAAATTATGTTATAAATATCCAAATGGCCCTTGGCAGAAAAAAAGGTTCCCCACCCCTGCTGTGAAGTTTTCTTCATTTGGTAGGATGGAGCACATTCACTTATAGAAGTTGGAGCTATAGCCCATCATAATTATAGCCTCCAAGTTGTGTAAGTAACTTTTATTTTTCTACCCTGAAGAGCAGCTATTACATTAGTAAGTTTAAAATGGAGTTTTAAATTTTGTTAAGAGTAATAAGACTGTAAATGATGCACAAAATTAGCTAATTTTATTTTTAGAAAAACCTACTACAGTTCCACAGATGACCTTATCTCTAAGTCCTCAGCAGGATGTCTATTTAAGATAATGTCTATTTAAAATATTTTCCCTCAATGAAATTATGAATTGATTTAATAATTATCAATTTCAGTGCATCTTGGGGAAAGTTATAACTCTGAAGATTTAAAATAAACCTGTTAAGTAGTCTTGTATTTTAGTAACATCAATCCCAGGAATATCTCACAATGGTACATTTAAAGAAAAATATAAAATGCAAGAATATTCACTGTAGCATTACTTCCAATAAATTATAATAGGAGAACATTTTATTAAAGTGTAACATGGGTGCAATATTAGCCACAAGCACATTATTTCAAAGGATAATTAACTATCTGATATGATGTAACAATGGATAAAACATAAAATACAAATTTCTTAAGAAAAATTTGTATACACATATGCAAAAAGATTAAAAGGAGACACATGAAAACATTTAAAAAATAAAAATAATAAACCTTATATTTCCAAAAAATGCCATCATTTTCCATTTTGAAAATAATTCTAACAGTATCCATTATATTGCAGAAAGAAATTACTTTTTAGAAGAATTTAGATACATGTAATGATACACATGTTTTCACTAATTTAACACAAATTGCTTATCATAGCTGGAGATTCATGAGAAAAAAGCAAATGAAGAAGAAACTCTCTGGAAAAATTTCCTTTGCATTTCAGTGAGCCTATACCCATTTTGAGACAATAAAGGCAGGGATGGAAAGAGGAGATGGTTAAGAATGAAGATTGGTGACATTAACAGGAGAATTCCAATCAAAACAGAAACCAATATGAGTTCAAACACTGAGGTTAAACTGTAACATATGGATTATTTCATATGGGAGCCTAATGAAGAGGCTCGGACAGACCCACGTCTATGAGGTCAAGCTGTTCAGAGGTGCAAATGGAAACTAAAGAACTCAACATGATTTCTGTTCCTTAAACCTACCCTGGGAGAGTAATTTATCTAATATTGACCAATTTAATTTGCTAGTTAATGATTGCTTCATTTTTTCAAGTATAACTCATAGTGAATTCTGGAGATTATCTGTTTTTCAGCCTCCAGTTTTTGTTTTTGTTTTTGTTTTTGTTTTGTTGTTTGTTTGTTTTCTAAGAGACACCAATATATCATAGCACCCAACTAATTGAAATAATTTGACATCCCGTAGAAATTATTTATTTCCTTTCAACATTTGAGCACCTTTTTATGTAGGCCACTATGGGAAGTCCTGGGGTGCCCTCACCCTCCAAATAAATGGGAGTGAAACTATATGGGGAGGAAGTGAGAGAGGAAAATGGGGAGGGAGGAACATATTTACAAAATACAGGATGCTCATTTAAATTTAAATTTCAGGTGAACAAAAAATAATATTTTAGTATAAGTATGCCCCATGCAATCTTTGGGATATGTATGCATTTTTATTTTCTAAATTTGGAAACCCTAAAATATGTTTATATATCCAAACCCTTTAATAAAAGCATAAAAACACACTAGAAACACTGAGAAGAGAACACCAATTTCTCCATGGGGGGACCAGTATGTTATCTCTCAAGGATGAATTATCTGCTTTCTTACAAGCAGAACTAAAAGGACCACAAAGATGGAGGAAAGGTGTTGGGAAAGTTAAAGGTGAACCCACGTGTAAAAGCAGCTACCAGTATAAATAATCTTGAAAGTTACACACTATCTGAATCTTGGAATTTTTTGTTGTAAAATGTGACTAGTAACTGTGACAATTACATATGACACTGCATATGGAAGCTCCTACCAAAAGACTTAACATATAGTAAATTTTAATGAATCTCCCCACCATTACACTGAGTAGCCAGATTATTATGATTTCTGAACACATAATAATCTGGCCACTATATATATATATATATATATATATATATATATATATATATATATATATATATATATATTAGAGGACCAGTGCATGAATTTGTGCATGGGTGGGGTCCAGCTAGCCTGGCCAAGTGAGGGGACATGGGCAGTTGGCCGGCCTGCCTGCTGGTTGAACTCCTGGTCAAGGGGACAATTTGCATATTAGCATTTTATTATATAGGATATACACTGGGTGGCCAGATAATTATGCATTCAGAGATCATAATAATCTGGTCACTCAGTGTATATGGCTGGAATAAGACACAGTCCAAGAAACAATACTGAACCAGCACTTCAGCAGAGCTGACCATATCATGAAACAACAGACCTCACTCTTAGAGAGCAAGTCTCTCCAAAGTGGTGCATCAACTTTATAAATTACAAAATGCCAAAAACTTCCTTCCTGGAAGTATGACAGAAAGTAGTCCTTATAGAACAGGTTATGGGACTTTCAGGTACTTATGAGTAAATTTTTTCTTTCTCTTAAGGAAGCATCATTTAGGGTAATTGTGACCAGAAGGCTTACCAGTAGAGATCTGTTGGATTCCCAGTGCCAGGTTTACTCATCTACCAGGAGACAGTTCAAGAGGATAAATCAAGCCTCTCATATTAGGAGACTATCCAATCAATGATAGCAAAGACCAATAAAGGACTTACTGCACACCAGGTACTAATTTAAAACTTTTACTTATATTAACTGCTAATCATTTTATATTGAGAAAATTAACTCTCAGAGAAGTTAAATAAATTACATAAGGTTACACAGAGATAAAATATAAATTTAGGCACTATGGCTCCAGGATATATTCTCTTAATTTATTTATTATACTACTCATGCTACTATGACCATCCTGTAACTGAGCATGCTGCTAGGTGAACCACATGTTCAGCTTGAAAAAGTAAAATACACTTCTTATGTAAAGGACTTTATAAACTAACAGAAAATAAACTCACAAAAGACACAGACAACAACATAGGTCCAGGCATGATTAAATCCCAAAGTAAGTAGTTTGGGCAGCAAGAGTGATAGGAATTCAGAAGTGAGAAAGGACTTCATGGAGAAGGCTGAGCTTAAAGGAATGAACTTTTGTGCCTGATCAATATTCCTAAAATAGCTTTTCTCTCATGTTTGCCTTTCTTAATGATTGATGGAGTTTACTGAAACATTGATTTAACAACCAACATGAGCATCATTGCTGGAATGACCAATTAGCTATAATGAAGCCTGGCTCCCTAATCCAAACTATCCATTCTTCTCCAAAATCTTGGCACACCTTCTTTGTATAGCTTGTTCTTTCTATTGTTTGATTTTTAAATAAGCTCTATCCAAGGCTTTTCTTGGTTAACAATCAATATCATCCTCCCAATAACTTTAAGGATCAATAAACCTAGAAAAACCTTGGCAGTCTGTATATTTTATGGCAAGGTCCTCGATAGCATGGTTTTGATAAATCTGCATATAGTTAGAACCAAAATTTGAAATCCAATTTGTACTTGATTAGAGAAAGAAAGGATTGCTTCTCAATACTGCCTACCTACCTTTGCCATATTCAGATGACAATCCCTCAGCTGCCATCTTGTGGTAAACAACACACACTGTAAAAAAAAGTATTCAATATTTCATAGTAAGAATCGAGATTTCCATTTTAATGTCTTCTTAATGGATGATTCCTATTGCTATCACCTGCTCTTATTATAAGCACTTTTTCTTTGCTTGTTTTTTTATTTTTTTATTTTCAATTTTTTTCTTTTTATTTCTTTTCCTATAGTTTGTTGGATCCCAGAATAATTTCAATTTTATACTTCAGTGGCCCTTTTATGACACCAATTTCACTTTTCATGAGAAATAAAAGATGTTCCATATTTTGGATGAATGTTTATAAATGCGAAATAATTTAATATTGCCTTACTTGGAGACAAACTATGAAGTAGTTAAATGTGACCAAACACACACACACACACACACACACACACACACACACACAGAGTATATTTTGAAATTTCAGCACTGTGTACTTCATTCTGAGAGACCACCAATTAAAGACAGTAAAATAAAATCTACCTTCACATTTTACTTTCATTGAGTTCACTTACTATTTTTAAAGTTGGTTAATTCAATTTTTGAACTTTATTTGTTTTGTTGAGAGCGGCTTGGCTCCCACCTCTCATACACTTTGATTTGCCTTTGTATATGCTTACTTACTTTAACCTTTAATTTAACTTACATATTCAGGCCCTAGTTATAACTCTGGCTAGAGAATATATGAAGGATAATTTGCTTCATGATCAAGTTTGTGTTGCTATGTAATCAAGATAGGCAGTATTCATTAAAGATTAGATGTATTGTGTGTGGACTGGGACTATCTATTAATAGGTCTGTATCCTGAATCCTGTTTTTCTGTTTTACTAGCTGTGTGCCCTTAGGCACATCACTTAGCATCTTTATGCCTTAGCTTACACAGATTTAAAGTGGGGATTATAATGGGATTTATTTCATAAGATTGTTGAGGGGATTACATGAATTAACACATTTATTGAACAGCACCAGACAGAAAGTATTCAAAAAAATTAGCTAATATGACTTACCATTTTATTTCTTTTATTTTAATTGAAAAAAATATGGAATGCTTCATGAATTTGCATGTCATTCTTGCACAGGAGCCATGCTAATCTTCTCTCTGTTGTTCCAATTTTAGTGTATGTTATGCTCTGGTTTCTCTTCAGATCGCATAAATCTTTCGCCTTTTACCAATTTTAGTGTATGTGCTGCCGAAGCAAGCACATGTCTTACCATTTATTGTTTATTTTTATACATTCTTTATTGTTAAATAACATTATTATTATTTATGCCTTTCTTTCTCCCTAATATTAGGTCACTCTGCTGATGTCTGACTCTCAATGCTCAGTCATATTATTCTTTTAATCGGCAAATGTTTACTGAGCTTTAATATGTGCCACACACAACTCTAGGTACTGAAGCTACAAGAGTGAAAAGGACAGCAATGCCTTAGGTATCATACAGCTCACAACTGAAAAGGTATCCGATGATAAACAGATAAATTCATGAACATCATTATTTCAGAAAGTAATATATACTAGAAAAATAGTACAGTGAAATGTAATAAAGAGTAAGGGAAACAAAATATGAAGATTCAAAAGCAGAAGTCTAAGTTGTGTACTAATGTCCTGCAAGTTCAAAGCAGCTGAATCTACAGACTTTTGATGATCTTCCTATGTACCATTCTGTCTTTTCCTATGACAGTGGAATAAAAAAAGAAGTGGCACCAAATGAGGTTAGAGAAGTAGGTAGATACCAGATACATAGGGTTTTATAGAGCATGTTAAGGAATTTCTCCTTCTAGGTGCAATGGGAATCCATAAGAGGGTTTTAAAGCAAGGAGTTAGAGGATCAAATACACTGAGTGGCCAGATTAATATGATCTCTGAATGCATAATTATCTGGACACTCAGTGTATATACTATATAATAAAATGCTAATATGCAAATTGTCCCCTCGACCAGGAGTTCAACCAGCAAGCAGGCAGGCCAACCACCCATGTCCCCTCACCTGGCCAGGCTAGCCAGACCCCACCCATGCATGAATTCATGCACTGGGCCTCCAATATATATATATATACACACATGCAGTGAGTGGCCAGATTATTTTGCGTTCAGAGATCATAATAATCTGGCCACTCAGTGTATATGTTTGCTTATTTTTATCTTCACCAAAGGTTATGCTAGTTGATTTTAGAGAGAGGAAAAGAGGGGGGGGGGGAGAGAAAGGAAAAGGGAGGGGGGGGGAGAGAGAGAGACATCAATGGGAAAGAAAAACATCCATTGGTTGTTGCCTCCTGTCTGAGCCCCAACCAAGGGTAGAACCCACTACCTAGGTATGTACCCTGATTTGAAACTGAACTCACAACCTTTTGGTGTATGAGATGATGCTCCAACTAACTGAGCCACTCAAGCCAGGGTTTTATGTTTGCTTTGTAAAATATCATATTTTCGGTTTACCATCTTAAAAGCTAAGAGGACTTGTATACAGAGAATGAAGCAGGTGTGTAAATAGTAACAAATGTGAGAGATAACAAGTGAGTCCCTTTCTCAAAGATGTGCTGTATTTATACCTGTGAATTCCACATACCTCTTTATAACAAAGTCTCCCTTTTTGCTTAAGATATTTCTAATTGTTTTCTGTTGGTTGCCAACCAACCAAAATATTTCTACTTCACACTTTTACCTCTAAGTTTACAAAATACATTCTCTCTTCCTTTCTCATAATACTGATTTCACCTTTATTTCCCTTATGAGCATCTTCACAGCAAAATATATATCTATACTAATAAAGGAATAATATGCTAATTAGACCAGACATCTTCCAGATGACCTTCCGGACATCCTTCCAGACAAAGCCATGGTGGTGTGGCCGAAGCAGAGGTGATTAAGGACAATCAGGCCGGCAGGGGAGAGCAGTTAGAGAGATTAGACTAGCAGAGAGAGCAGTTAGGATGATCAGGCTGACAGGCAGATGAGCAGTTAGAAGCCAATAGTCCCAGACTGCAAGAGGGATGTCTGACTACAGGTTTAGAACCAATTCCAGTTTGCAGAGGGTTCAGGCCAGATTGAGGGACTCCCCTACAACCTCCCATGCATGAATTCCATGCACTGGGCCTTTATATATAAATATTAGAGTCATGACCTTCAGGGATCCGGCTGAAACCAATCTCTGGGTCTGGAGTGTGGGTGAAGCACATTTGGAGCTGACAGTGCCCCAGCAGCAACCATGGCCAATTCTGCAAGGAATTGGGCTCCCTGCTCTATTGGTTGAAGCATCTGCCCCCTGGTGGTCATTGTGCATCATAGCAAAGAGTCAAATGGTCAAAGGGTTGGATGGTCACTTAGGCTTTTATATATATACTAGAGGCCTGGTGCACAAAATGCATGCATGGGAGGGAGGTCCCCTCAGCCCAGCCTGCACCCTCTCCAATCTGGGACCCTTCAGGGGATATCAGACTGCCGGTTTTTACCCTTATTTTTAACAGATGACAACTCCATTGTTGTTTCTTTCTTTTCATACTTAAACCCATTGGAATTAGTAGGTATTCAAAGTGTGTATACACTTAGGGGGGCCACCCTATATATCTCTAGTCAGTGGTGAAAAGAACCAATGGCGGGTTTGAAACCCTCAAACAGGGAACCTCACTCACTCCCCACATGTCTCCCCATTCTGCTTTCCACCTTCATGGGCGGTGGGGGAATCAATGTTTTCTCTCAGAAAAGCCCATCCTGTTACCTGCTGCCAGGCAGGAGTGTGCTAGGCCCCAAGCAAGTGAGGCTCAGTCAGGAAAGCCTTCTCTCATGGGTGTCAGCACCCCAAGTGCACATTTCTCCTCTACAGTCACCCTGACTCTCCCACTGTTTCACTGAGAGGATGGGCCTCCTCACCTCCTCTGGGTTCCCATCTCGAACGCTGACAGAAGGCACCTCAGCAAGGGCCACCCCACACCCACCAGGTGTGTCTGTCTACACCTGCTCCTGCCTCAGCACCTGCATTAGCCCCACAGAGGTGATCTCATAGCCACTGGCCTCAGGAACAGAGCGTCACCACTCAGCACTCTCACTGTCATATCACAGGTGCCCACCCTGAGCACCCAGACATGCTCCAAAGGACATGAGCATGCTGGAGGGGACATTCACACATCATATGGGGTATGTAGGCACACCAGAGTTGATGGAAGTGCAGCAGAGTGGCGGGGGGGGGGGGCGGAGAAACATGTGCATGCTGTGGTCCAGGACTATTGCAGGCACGCATGGGTGACAGTGTGCTGGAGGATGTTCACATGGGGGGGGGGAGAGGTTGCATGCTTTGGAGGCCTGCACCTACGCAGATCTGCAAACCCACTCAGCACAGCCAGGAGTACATCAATCTGGACTGCCAAATTGGCTGTCCCTATGATCAGGCACCTTCTGGGCCAGGAGGCTGCACCAGGGATCAGCCAGCAGTGAGGGCAAAGGTGAGAGCGAGGGCAGCTGGCTGAGAGGGCCACTGCCACCATAGCCACCTCATCGCCAGCTTGGTGCTACCTCTGTCGCTGGGGTCCTCACAGGCTCTCAGCACATAGGGAGCCAGGCTGTCCACCCTGATGCCTATGGTGCCACCCACCTCCTCTGGAGCCAAGTGCACTCCAAGGGTGGGATCTTCCCCCAGGCCTCGCCAGAAACAGCTTGGGGAGGGTGTCTCAGGGCCAGTGGGACTGATGGAAATGGGGATGTGACATGGAGGTGGAGCCTGCACTTCTGTTAACATACACAATGTGTTTTATACCACAGCATGTGGCTATGAATGGCGCCAAGTGGAGACTTCAGGCCAAGCTGAAGCAGTGTCTGTAGGCCATCAGGAGCCATCATAGCCTCCACAACCATGTGGGGAGTACAGGCAACCCTCCACCGGGCCCCATATCCCCCTCTTCCATCCTCACTACCACAACTCCCTGCCCACCACCTGAGCCTGCTGCACATGGAGCCTGGAACTCGGTTGAGCCTTTGGTCATTTTGGATGTTACAGACCCTGGATGTTTATATATTAGGACTAGAGGCCCAGTGCAAGAAATTTGTGCATGTGTAGAGTCCCTAAGTCTGACCAGCAATCAGGGCCAATTAGGTTCCCTGCCTTCCCACCTCCACACCTCCTCCTTCCTTTGCTCCCTCAGTGCCCTGCCACTGCCACAGGTCACCAGCCATGTTCCGCGCCGCCCCCTGGTGGTCAGCTCACATCATAGCAAGCTATCAAATTCCTGATCTAGTTGAACTCCCTAGGGGACACTTTGAATATTAGCCTCATGTGTAGATAGATAGGTAGATAGATAGATAGATAGATAGATAGATAGATAGATATAGATATATGGTCTTCTAATGTCCTACAAATTCAAATCAGCTGAATCTACAGTCTTTTGATGATATTTCTGTGTATCATTCAGTCTTTTCCAGTGACAGATCTGGGAGCCAAAAGGATTAATAAAACTACGATATATTGGGGTGCTACAGACTGCAGAAACTGATTAAATGTCAAGCAATAGAAATAGACCCTGCCAGAAAGAACAAAAATGGCCTCCAAGAAAATAAATAAGTCATGTGATATGGATAAGCTGTTGACATAGTGACAGCAAAGGATAAAAGAATTACTCAACAAGTATACAGAGCACAACCACAAAATGTTTAGGTAAACAGTATTCAAAGATCTAAGTTTGCAGGCAGTACCAAGGAAAGTCTAGTAGCTGGTAATTGGGCTTTAGTCAAAGGAATGCAGCTTGAGCTCAGAACAAGCATGAACAAGACAGGGTCCCCATCCCTCAATACTTGATAGCCTATCAATACAGAAAATTTCCAGGGACCAAGTAAAGACCCAGTTACTTGAACTAGGATTAAAAAAAATTTGAAGAAAAACTACAATCAAGTGCGTTGCTATTGAATTCCTCATGTCTTGTATTGCTGTTCCACATATTTGTCCTAAAGCATGAGATATAGATGAATTTATAATTGGTAGAGGGCTGAGATCAAAGACCCCAAATGTACAACAAATATACTACATTGCCTTCATTCATGAATTGCACATTGATGCAGAAAGTAGCATAAGCCAGTGAGTACTCGACTTATTTGTCTCTTCAACTAATGTTCTCCTTGGGAAAGGTCAGATTTTTGAGATGCAAGCCTATTC